GACAATATGTCCAAAGTATGAGAGATGAAGTCTGGCCATCCTGGCTCCCGAGGAACATTCTGGCTGCACTTCTTCCAACACGGATCTGTTTGTTCTTTTGGCAGCCCATGGCACTTTCATTATTCTCCTCCAACACAACTCAAATGCATACATTCTTTTAGACCTTAGGATTTAGATATTTAGACCTCAGATAAAACTTGCCTTTTGTTATAGTTGTTTAGTACTGCTATATCAGAAATGGAGTCCTGTAGGATAAGCACTGGACTGCTAACCACAAGTTTGGTGGTTTAAACCCACAAGCCACTGCTTAGAAACCCTATATAGATTGTGGCTTTGAGTCAGAATACTACAAGTGGGTAATATTAGCAAATATAATTTTATTTTCTTCCAGTTATTGTTATTGTTAAGTGCCGTTGAGTCGGTTCCGACTCACAGCAACCCAAGGAGCGGCTGGTGAGGTTGAACTGCCGACCTTGCAGTGCAAACTGACTTTGCAGTCCAGTGCATTAGCCTACAGTGCCACACTAGGACACCTTCTTTCAGTTGTTGTTTTTGTCGTTGTCATTGAGCTGATTACGACCCATAGTGACCCTGTATAGGGTTCCCAAGGAGCGGCTGGTGAGGTTGAACCGCCAACCTTGTGGCTCAAACTGACATCGCAGTCCAGCGCATTAACCCACAGCGCCAAACCAGGACTCCTTTCTTACAGTTACGGGACTAGAAATATGAATTCAGGTCACTTGTTCTTGGGGAAGGCTTCATGTTTCTGTCAGCTATGGAAGAAGATCCTTGTCTGTTTTGAGTTGTTCCTTGGTGATCTTCATGTGGCTTGACACCCAACTTGCCCTATCTCTGCTCTTTTGTTACTTGCTTAACCTACTTTTATATTGCAAGAAAGATTGACTTGAGACACACCTTACACTAATACTATCTCATTAATGTAACAAAGGAAACCCATTCTCAAATGGGATGATAAATACAGGTATCCCCACAAAACATAAACCCTTTGCCATCTGTTGAAACAATGTAGATTCATCGTGACACTATTGAACCGAGTAGAGCTAGCCCAGAGGATTTCCAAAACTGAAATCTTTACGGAAGCAAATTGCCACACCTTTTTTCCATGGAGCACCTAGTGACTTCCAGCCATCCACCTATGGTTAGCATGTAACCATTGTGCTACCAGGGTTCCTTACCCAGAGATACAGCGGTGGGGATTTATAGCACAGCTTTTTAAAGAGACTCAGTTCAACCCACAACACCTTCTATCCACTATTTCAGTTAGTTCCCCAAGAAACAGGGCCTGTCTTAGTTCTCCTCTCGGATCTAACACCCTGAAGAAACATTTATGAAACAATGAGATAAACTAATATCGAGAAGATCTGTGAGTGGAGACCAAAGATGTGCCAGGTCTGATGCTAAGAGCTCTGCATGCTTCACATAGCATTTATAATCACCTTATGAAATAAGATATTATTATTGTTCTGATTTTATAAATGAGGAAACCAAGTCTCAAAGAGGTTGAATAATCCAAGCTCACTGACCTAGTATGTGGTAGAATCCAGGTGGTTTAATACCAGTGCGTGAACACAATTACTAAGCTACTTTGATTCCTTTTTTCTGCTCTTTAAAAATCACTGTTTATTCCATTTGGTAGAGGATTTGTTGTTGTTGTTGTTTTATTTTTTTATTTTCATACAAATATCTACAACAATTTTGAATTCCCCAAAACATACATATATGATAAATACCATGCTTATTAAAGTATTAAATTTGTACAAAAATACTTTATAGCTTAATACTTGTTTGACACAAATAAAAATACATATTTAAGTGACTCATGACTTCTTTTTTATTTAATACGAACTCCTTTATACTTTCTTGCCCTGGCAGTTTTGAAAGATTAAAATAATGTCTTGCTCTGCACATAAAGAAAGGTGAAAGTTTTCCTTAAACAAAGGACACAGTGTTTGAATGGTTTACCTAAGTGGTGGTTTTGAATTATTGACCAAAATGAAAATATTTGGAAAATAACCATTTCAATATAGAGGTTTTACAATCAATATACAGATCTATTTTTTTATATTCACCAAATCTGAACTATTCAAAATATCTGAACGAATGAAAATAGTTGCTGGCAAATGTAAAAGCAACTATCACAATTGATTGCTTTGAAGGATGGTCATAATCAGCAATGCATTTTGTGAAAAATATATTTACAATTTCCATAAGTGGCATAGCTCAGAACAAAAGATAGTCCCAGGTCATTGTCTAAGTGCATTTGCTGTGGTTGGTTGGTTATGTGCCCTGGGGTCGGTTCCTACTCATAGCGACGCTGTACAGGGTTTCTGAGGCTGTAAATCTTTATGGGAGCAGAAAGCCTCATCTTTCTCTCACAGAACAGCTGGTAGTTTCGAACTGCTGACCTTGTGGGTCACAGCCCGATTCATAACCACTACGCTACCAGAGCTCCTTACATGTGCTGTACACCCCTCAATATTATCAGTTTTTAAAACATGTCAAGTAGTTTGAATTGGCTTAACCTATCATTACTTCGGTCATTTTGTCAGGAGGGACCAGTTGCTGGAGAAGGATATCATGTTTGGTAACATGGAGGGTCAGAGAAAAAGACAAAGATCCCCAGCGAGATGGATTGGCAAAGTGGCAGCATCAGTGGGCTCAAGCGTGGCAACAATTGTGAGGTTGGCCCAGGACCGGACAGTGTTTCGTTCTGTTGTGCATAGGTTCGCTGTTAGTCGGTAGTGACCTGATAGCACCTAACAACAACATCGTTAAGATGAGCACTATTGTAATAGATTCTTCATTATCTCTTAAGTTATTAGTCTTGAATTTAAAAAAATAAGGTAACTAAACCTCAGTGTCACTAAACACTCCATTGTCAGAGATTTTCAGCTATTAAAAATACGTCCTTTATAAAACAACAACAACAAAAAAACACAGGTCACAACACATACCCTGTTTGATCACTTGTTGCATAGGGAATTAGCATACATTTTAGTTAAAATCATTTCTATACTTGGGCAAAACATTTTCCCACCACCTATAATTGTCTGCTACGTGCACCACTGCTGAAACATTTTAAGAGAACTGAATTGTATTACTAGTACCCCTCCCATTGCAGCAGTTCCCACAGCTTACAAAACACTAGTTCCCCGGCTGGAGCCAGCTTTCATTACTTGTTGATCAAGTTCGTACATCAAAGACATCATAGTAAGAAACTGATTTTAAAGTGAATAAAGTAAATTACCATAGAGAATATTTTTCAACAGACATTTCTCTTTTTAAAAAGTGATAGTAAGATGAACTTGTAAAAAATTTACCTCAGATGTTAATTCGTGCGTGGGGAGGGGCAGCCTACCTATTTTTTCTCTTCTTTACCATACACCATAGTGGTCACCAAACAAAAAATCTCTTCAGCTTGGAAAGGGAAATGAATATTAGCTGTAAGAGAGATTTAAAAGACTCCTGTGTGTACAGTTAATACCACGTGCTTATCTGTGCTTCAAGCAACACAGAAATCTTAAAGGGATTTTTAGCACCATGTGTATGACGTCTTTTGCCCTGTTTTATAAAAAATATTGCTATAATATATTAGTGGGTTCCTGTGTTTCCAAATTACCACTGTGGCTCGGTTGTTGGAAGTAAGCACTGTTCTGTTCATGCCAGTCTCCTCCTGGTAGAGTCTGTTGTTCTATAGAATTCTGTGAAGCCAGAGGGTTTCTATTAATAACCAGGTCCAGCTTATTGTCATATTCTGCTATGAGGACATAACAAGGCAGCAATGTCTTTCATGCAGATGTGATTAGCCTGTAAGAGCCTATAGTAAAGTTTTAAGCCACCAAGATCTCCTGGTTCGACTAGGTGAATATTTTTGACATCTGCAACATTGAACCCAAAGTCCTCCATGTCCGAGTCCTTGTACAAGGTCACTTTCAGTAACATAATGGTGGTCTTCTCTCTGTGTCTGCAGCATTCCCCCCTCTCTATATTGATTCTTTATGAAATACTGCCTCAAATGATATCAAAATATATTGGCCCTCTATTGGAGATTGCTTGAGGTGGAGGGGTGAGAAAGGGGCATGGAAGGGAGATACTGTTTGGCAATGATATCAAAACCAAACCAAACCTCCTGCCATTGAGTTGCTTCTGACTCATACCCATCCTACAGGACAGAGAAGAATTTGCCCATGGGTTTTCTGAGGCAGTACATCTTTTTGGAAGTAGATAGCCTCATCTTTCAAAGCATCAACCTTTCAGTTCGCCTCCCAGTGCTTAACCTGGGCTCCTTTTGGCTATGACATCACTTAGGAATTGTTAATTTCCTAGGGTGTGGTAGGGGGAAAGAGCTAGACACAGAAAATGATTCTTGAAGAAAGACATCTGCTCACATTGGAGAAGAGTCTCTATTAAATTTACCAACTGGTAATTATATTCTGGGATGATAGAAGTGGGTGCAAGGAGTGGAGATTGATGGTGGTGATAATGCTTTCTTTCCCTTGTTTCCCCTACCTCTTCCTTCTCTTACAGGGGTTAACTCCTTCATGGTTTACATGGCCTATAAGGATTTGTATCAAGTGTCTAACACAGAGGTAACAACCCATTTTCTGTGTGATTTGGGGGAGCTGGATGGGTTTTCTATTTTTACTGATGACCTTGGCTTTTTTTAAAATTTTTTATGTGAGTCACTGTGGTCACCACGGGAGACTCTTGGGCTAGAATGCTCTAGAGTGCTCATTGAAGTCCTTTCAGCCCATGTTACATTGTAAGTAAAATCATTGGCAGACTGTCCCTGGCCAGACAGAAAGGAAGCTAGAATTCCATTTGGCAGTGTCTTCCTCAAGCATAGAAGAAGAAGAGCATGCCTAAATACCTATGTACCAAACAAACTCCATATTGCTTGTAAGTTCAATGGAAGTGTGAGGTTATCAGCCTTCCAGGATTAAGGGGAGCTTCTGCTATATGGGGTAATAATAGTATCAGCTTGCTTCTGACTCTCCCTAAGGAATTGGTGGAATGTGATTGTTTTAGATAAAGATCAAGTTTCCGTAAGAAATAAAATAAATGCATTTCTGTACCTCCTGGAGGTAGACAGTAGTTTTGTCTTGAGAAGCTAAGAGGCAAGGGTTTCAACTTTTTTGTGTCAGCTACTGATCAGACAGTACTAGTTTCCTGGAAAACTTGTTGAGAAGGATTCTGAACCTCAGTCTCAGCATACTGGAAAGTAATTTCATTAAAACATTTGTCAGAAGCAGGTTGGAGGAATTGGTAGCACTTGTTATATATTTGTCGCCTCTACCTATAAAGACTCCAGGTGCTTTACAATGATAAAGTTTTGTAGAGTTCCATTAAACTAGCACACCTTTAGATCTTGTGTGTGTTCAGTCTGTATTTCCTTCCTAGGCAGCTCCCTCATCTCATCCCATTTGCTCCTAGCTCTGGATTTAGTCATTGACCCTTTTGTCAGATTATTACAGGCATCAGTGACTTATTAGGAAAGTGACCAGTGCTTGTTTCCATTTCAGCTCTACGAGATCTTCAGCTGCCTGGGAGAGTTGGGTGCCCTTGCCCAAGTTCATGCTGAAAATGGTGATATCATTGCCCAGGTATCTCTGTAGCTCCTTGCATTTCGCTTCCTGCATGGGTTTGCATCTACATCCCATATATTTCCTCATTTCTTGAATGTTGCTTGAGTGCTCATATGTGCAAGTGACCCTCACCAGCGCTTTGGTACAGCTAAAGACAGAACATGCCCTAAAGAACCTCACAGTCTAGTATCTAGGAGGGAAGGATGTTGATCAGCAATGAAGAAAGTAGAAGATGCTGTAAAACAGATTATTTTCCAATTGGACCATTCAGTGTGGGAGTACTGTTGATACTGTTCTGAAAATCACTGAAAGCTACATGACAGTCTCCATCTTAAAGAAAAGCCATCAGACATTATTTCTCTGAAACCATAAATCCAATGATCTAGCTCTGCGGAACTCACTGCCTTAGATAATAAAGAATTTAGGTCTTGCGGGGATCAGACGGTCCCACTGGTTTCCTGGAAATTATATTGAGAAACCTGAGAAAAGAGTGATGAAAGTGAGGGCCCCAAGGTCCAAATTGATCATTTGTAAGGAAGTAGAAAGCAGTGCTTTCTTCATCTCCTGTGCTGTCTACTGGGATGGATGCACAGATGTGTCAGGGAAGGGTTTTATTTATCTGAGAAACAGTCAGCACTGGCTTCTGCTAGAGGGAGGCAGCTAGAAACGAAGAGTGAGCGCTCTTAGGCCATTTGATAACATTAACAGCAAGAAACCATTATTCATTCTTTCAAAGAGTATTGCCTGAGCACTTTGGACCGGTGCTATGGTGGTGAGCCAAAACAGATGCATTCTATATCTCATAAGAGCTTAGGTTGTGCCTTTGTTTTAGAAGTTGTCTGACACTTGGTGAATGGTCGGCAGGATTGTGAGAAGTGTTTAAACTAACCTGAATCTCAGACCCTTTAGCTTGCTTATAGCATTAGCATATTTTTAGATTGCTGTAAATATATACAACACAATGTTTATCAGATTAACTTTTTTGTCCATATGGACATTTCATTGTTATCAATTACTTTATAACCATCACCAGTATTCATTGTGGAAATTTCCATTATCCTTCCTGGTTATCACTAATAAACTTCACTCTCTGTACATTTGCCTATTCTAGGTATTTTATGTGAATGAGATCATACAGTATTTACCCTTTGGGGATGTTCTCAAGGTTCTTCCATGTTGTATCATAGACTATTTCTGTTATTGGCTGAGTGTATTTCATTGTATGCAACCAGTCACTGTTGATGGATATTTAGGGTAGATATTTATACCATTTTCACCTGTTACTATTGGCGATAGTTCAGCAATGGGCACTGATGTCTAATAGCAGTTACTATATGCCAGGCACTGGTACGTGCTCCAGTGTGTTCTCCAGCCCTTAGATGTGCCTATTTATTACCCTCTCCATTTTATAGAAGAGAACCCTGAGGTTCAGAATGGTTACGTCATTGATTGGTCCAAAGCACACAGCCAAAAAATGTTAGAGACAAATTTTAGCCCCTAATGTGATGTGCCTCAGTGGGCCTTTTTACCCAGAAGAAGAAGTATATGTATGGTCGTGTCCCTGCTTCCCAGTCTAAGTCTTGCACAAGGAGGCAGTGCCCAGCAGTGCAGGGCTTCAGCTGTTGTGATTTCAGACTCTGGTGGAGAATGAGAGCTATAAGTGCAGTTTGCTCTGTCTTATGACCTGGAGGGTCATTAGCCAGGCACCTGACAGCACCTTCTCCTACATCCCCCATTCACCTAGGATAATGGGGTCATTTTTCAGAGTGTCTAGATTTCTTGCTCCCATGGGAGGCATCCCAGTGAATGTTTGAACTAGCACTCCTTTTCCTTCTCTAAGTGTCTGGGGCAGCAGCCAGAGGTCATGGCCCTGCCTCTAGCTGACCTAGGCAGTGAGCTTCTTGTTTTCCATTCTAGACTCCCTGGGGGGAAATGGGCTCCAGTATAAAGTCTCTTTCTCCAGCTTCTCTTCCTCTTGTGACTCCTTAAGCTCAGAAGCATCTCTGGTGTTCCCATTTCCTACCTCAGGAAGATCTGTTCTCAGTCATGAAAGGAATCAAGGCATTTTTCCATTTGGATGTGTGTGTGTTTATTACATTCAGCTTGAGCTGAAAGATTTTATCATGTTGTCAAGTGAATGCAGCTGCTGGACTCAGTCTCTTGCTGCTCCTATGCAAAAGGGACTAAAGAACCAAAGGAGATCGTTTCCTTTGGATCCAAATAAGGTGACCTTCAAAACTGTCAGGCTGGCAGGACAATCTGAGAGCACAGCGTCTATGGTCATTCGTTTAACAAATATTTCCTGTGCTCCTATTATATGCGGTGTCTTGGAGAGAACAGATGAAAAGGACATAGCTCCTTTCGTTATAGTGCAAGCTGCAATTGGGTCATGGTACAAACTGCATGTGACTAGCTGTTACCAGTGCTTCACAATGCCCACTGCACCCCTACCCAAACAAGGAGACCTCCATGGGCCTGTAGACTTTTAGAACAGGATTTCTCAATATGAGCAGTGTGTATCAGAAACTTTCAGCAGAAGATGGAGTTTGTAGAGAGATATCTTTCTTTCTTTATTTTCCCCCTCTAATTCCAGAGATTCTCATTCATAGGTGAGTGGTAGAGTCCATACAAGGAACCCTGGTGATGCAGTATTTAAGTGTTTAACTGCTAACACAAAGGTTAGTGGTTTGAACCTACCAAATGCTCTTCATGAAAGAAGACCTGAAACTCTGCACCTACAAAGATTACAGCCAGGAACAGTTATCCCCTGTGCTATAGAGAACCTTTGAGTTGGAATGGACTTTATAGCACAAATCAATAGAGTTCAGTTCATTGTTTGCAAACTTCCGCCAGTGATCTGAATGTGCTTGGAAACCTTTGCTCTAGTTGACCTTTTCCTGTGCCAGCTGTCTTAAACAAAATCAAAGTGAGAGTGTCACAGAAGGCTGAAGATACTTTAGCTGGACACCTTAACTCTTATGTGACTTCAGGCAGAAAGTCTGAATGAAAGCTCACCAGAAACTGGAAGACAGTTCGTTCAGTTCAAGTTTCGGTAAATGAGAACCAAAACCAACCAAATCCACTGCCATCCAGTTGATTGGACTTACGGTGATTCCGTATGTTTCAGAGTAGAACCACTGCATCAGGTTTGCTTACCTTTAATCTTTATAGGTGCAGATTGCCAGGACTTTCTTTCTTGATGCAGTTGTTGTTGTCATGAAGTGCCGTCGAGTCAGTTCCGACCCATCGCGACCCTGTATAGGGTTTCTAAGGAGCGACTGGTGAGCTTGAACTGCTGACCTTGCAGTTCTAGCAGCTTTGCAGGCTGACGCATTAACCCACAGTGCCATACCGGGATGCAGTTAGGTGGCTTTCAATCTCCAACTTTTAGGGTAGTTTTGTTAAGTGCGGTTGAGTTGTCGGTTCTGACCCATAGCGACCCTATATAGGGTTTCCAAGGAACAGCTGGTGAGCTTGAACTGCCGAATCTTGCAGTTCAAATGGCTTTGCAGTCCAGTACATTAACCCACAGTGCCACACCAGTCCAGTGCAAAGTTAGTGCCAACCAGAGACAAGGATTAAAAGTGGAGGTTTAACCATTTTACTTCTAATGATTTTTTTAATAATATGTGCATTTTCTTCATACTCCTTTTTAGGATGACTTTTTATTAAGAAGTAAAAAACCCAACAAAACACAGCAGCTATTTTCAGGTGAAAGGAATCATTTTCTTTCAAAGTGAGGCCAAGATGAATTAAGTGCACCCTCCTGCTTTTGTCTCCCACATCACCAACATACTCCCAGGCCACTGGGCTGGCTTGCTGAGGCAGAGGGTCGTTAGAACTGCTGTTAGTAACCTGATTATGAATGCCAACAAAGCGTCAGAAACGATGCTTTAGGATTTCTGCCAGTTCTAATTAGCCATGTGTGTGTTCACTGCCTTGCCACCTACTTCTTCCTTAAAGCTGGCCAAAAGTCTTAGAAATTTCACCATCAGCCATAGCGTAAGTTATTTTGTCATATCTACAACTTGGTATGGTGCTGAATGATAAGCACTGGACTACTAACCATCAGCAGTTCAAACCCACCAGCCACTCCTCAGTAAACCTATACTGGATTGCTATGAGTCGGCACCTACTCAACAGCGCTTAACCACATCAACTTGGTTAAGTAGAATTTGACCAAAAGATTAACACAGTGCTGTTTCGAGGCATCGTATTATTTTCTCTGGTTAAATTCTGAATCCATTCAGGCCAAAGATTTTAAAGCATAAAGAAGTTTGAGAAGCTTATTAAAATGCAGACTCCTCCAGTTTAAGCCCAGGTATTCTGATTTGATAGCGTAGTGGTTACGAATCAGGCTGTGAACCTTAAGGCCAGCAGTTCTAAACTACCAGCTGCTCCGCGGGAGAAAGATGAGGCATTCTGCTCCCGTAAAGATTTGCAGCCTCGGAAACCCTGTACAGGGTCGCTATGGGTCGGAACCGACTCGACGGCACTTAAAAACAACAACAACATTCTGATTTGGTAGTTCTGGCTGAAGCCAGAAAGCTGCATTCCTATAATAACCCAGGTGTAGGTGGTGGCTAGACCATACTTTGGAAGCATCACTAAACTTTAAGCCCAATGAGGTCTGGAACCACATACTTTCAAGTACTGTATCAATGCAGAAGCAAATACTCAATACATTCTTTTGAATGTCTGGGATTTGAACTGCAGGAATATATAAACAAGTGGATTCAACAAGTGCACCTGGGGAGGTAACTAGATGAAGAGTAAGATGGTGTTACTTTCTGATGAGTAATGGAGAGAAGGAATGGATACTTTACAGACTTTTACTAAGAGCAAATCACCCCAAATATCTTTTTTCCATTTAGTGAAAACTCTTTACAACTCCAAAGACAAAGTGAATAAACTTTCTCAAAATAGACACACGCATCTTGCTCTTTTTTGCTCCTATGAGCACATCATTAGAGCCGAACACATTGCCTAATTTTTCCAAGTCTCAGTTGAGCTCATTTAAAAACTGTATCCTTTTATTGTTCTAGGAGCAAGCCCGGATGTTGGAAATGGGGATAACTGGCCCCGAAGGCCACGTATTGAGCAGACCAGAGGAGGTAAGTGGTAGGGCCTTGGTGGGGCTGGGGAAGAGAGAGAGCAGTAGCAGTGAAGTCTTTTCTTTACCAACGTCTTCCAAGAAGCTCCTGTTGTCAGCCCCCAGCTGTCTCCACAGCTCATTTTATATTGGGAAAGTTTGCATTTGGTCACCTACCCGGGGAGTCCTGGTGTGGCTCTGTGGGCTAATACGTCAGACTGAAAAGTTGGTTGAACTACATGGTCGGTGGTTCAAGCTCACCAGCTGTTCCTAGGAAACCCTATACAGAGTTGCTGTGGGTGGGAATCCACTAGAAGGAACTTAACAACACCAACCCAAGGCACATATAAGGCCAAAGGCTCAAAGGAACATCACTGAAAGGGGTGAGAATCCTATGAATACCACATGGAAGTATTGCATTGCCTTCTCATTAGTGGTAATTCAGAAGCCCTGAGGAGATTTAGAAAGGAATGCAAGGGAATTGCTTACTTCTGCCCTTTCATCTCTGAAAAGATACAAGAATGTAGGCTGTACACCATAGTTATTCAGTAGGAGTAAGGCATTTCTGGAGTCCTGGTGTGGTGCTGTGGGTTAATGCACCAGACTGCAAAGCCATTTGAACTGCAAGCCCTTGCCAACTGCAAGGTTGGCGGTTAAAGCTCACTAGCCACTCCTCGGAAACCCTATACAGGGTCGCTATGGGTCAGAACTGACTTGACAGCACTTAACAACAACAACAAGACATTTCTAACTGCTTCACAAACCAGTGTGAATGGAAACATTTTTACTGACTCTCTTTTTCCGTATTCCACTGGAGTCCTGCAGAACATTGGCCATATAGATAGGAGGTTGAAAAGAGTTTTCATAGGCATGCACCTTGCTCCGTTTTTGAAAGAGTTCTGGTGAAGGTCGGTTTGAACTTCAAGGCTGGTGGTTCAAGTTCACCAGCCACTCCTGGGAAATTCTATTCAGGGTCACTATGAGTTGGGGCTGACTGAATGACTCTTAACAACAGCATACACATCCATTGGTGTAAGGTGATGTACAAAATGTTGGTCTGTAACTGCTTAGTGGCTATAGAGAGAATAAAATGGAACAGGTAGCTGATTTTCTGTCTGGGCTGTCAGCAACTTGAGCTTCTGACATAGAACTGGGAAAGGACGATCCGTACGGCAGACAGCAAATTGGCTGTGGGAGACTAGCCTGAGTCTGGCATCTGGAGCAGATTCAAGGCCCTCACTGTTGCTGTCTCTATCCTTCATTCCAAACTCCAAGTTCTGCAACAGGTAGAAGAAACCAGAACCAGAAATGACGGTATTTCCATTACCCATCTCAAAAGATATTTTAAACATTGAAATGTAACAACACACTTAGAAGAAAAATGTATGCACTCCCCTAAGAGTACAATGCATTTTCACAAACTTAAAACACATAAATCCAGCTCCCAGTTTGAGGAACATTATCAGCACCCCAGAAACTTGTTTGTGTCCATTGATATTTTTGTGTCTGATTAAAATCATTTATAATTTTGTGATTTGGATTAGAGTCACACTGAACAGGCCTGAAAAACCTGTCAGTCATTTTAATAATACTAGGTCCCTTCACAAGGGATCACCAGGAATCAGACTGGACTCAGCAGCGATGAATTTGTTTTTTGGTTTTCTATTGAGTCCTTCAGAGGAGCCATGGTTGCACAGTGGTTAAGTGCATGGCTTCTAACCAAAAGGTTGGCAGTTTGAGCCTAGCAACCACTCCACTGGAGAAAGATGTAGCCGTCTGCTTCCGTAAGGATTTACAGCTTTGGGTAGCCAATGAGGCATTTTTACACTGTCCTTTAAGGTCACTATGAGTTGGAATCAACTAGTTAACAATGGGGTTTGTTTTGTTATGTTTTTTATTGAATGCTTCCTTTTGCCCAGTATTGTGTTCCTTGTATGAATTGTCTCAACTGTCCTTGCCAGGGCTCTGGGTGGTTGACATTCCTATACCAACTGTGCAGGTTGGCACAGGAAGCTGAAGACCAGCAAGCTTACCCTACTGGCCCATTATGCTGGAAGGACTCAGGAGCTCTTTTCATAGTGTGAAGAGGCCACAATGATCAGCATTGTTTGTGGAACTTGTCTTGAATGCTGGTCACTATAGAGATAGATGTGCTGGCAAAATTTCTTCAGCAGTAGCCAGGGGATTTCAGAGCAAAAGCTATTTTTGTTCCTTGGTTTGTTTTTCCAGGCTCCCCTGTCCCTACCCTCTCCCTGTTCCGTCTCCTTTTTAGTAGAAAGACTCTCAGCCACAGATCTCCACAACCTTGGAAGCCTTCTGGGTGAAATTGGAGGCTGATGTAACCTTCCAAAGATAGTCATGTTGTCAAAGTGCTGGAAAAACCTGCATTGCTGGGAGGGAAGGAGATCAAAGGCGCCAGGCCTGAGGTCATGGGGAGCTGAAGTGGTCAGTATAGGTGTGAAGGAGATGGAATGAGCCTGGGAGGAGCCAGCCTCTCTTCAGTTCAAAGCACAACGAGATACCATCTGGAGTGAGTGATTTTAGTGACATGAGTGATACCTCTCAGAGAACTGGGACCAAAGGCACAGAGACAGCCATGCTGAAGTCTAGGGGTCTGGGTGCTTTCCAGGCAGTTGCTGTGTTCACCTACATTCAGGGGCCTCCGAGTTCAGCCCCCCTGGGTACACTAGCTCCACCAGCCAAGTGCTCAAGTCTGTCTGCTAAGTCCCTTCCGCTAAAGGCAGTGACTGGTTTGCATTATTTACTAGTTTGCATCTGCAACTATTTTTGATATTTTCTTAAAATGCCAGGCTACACGGGATCACCAGGATGTCAAAGCCATCCAAAAATTAACTGTAGCTGATTAAAAGGAAGAATGTCAAATGATTTGGGGTAAATTGGACTCACACAGACTCTGTCACACTGGGGAGAAACTGCAGCCAGCAATAATACTAATTAATATGATCATTATTATTGAGGGCAATTATTGCCCTTGAGGAACATTCGCCTTGTTCCAGGAATGGGCTAATTGCCTTAAAAGGATGAACTCACTTAATCATCACAGCAGCCCTTTGTGTAGAGTTCTATTGTTGTTAAGTGCTGGTGGAGTTGGTTAAGTCTCATAGTGACCCTGTATAGGGTTTCTTAGGAGCATCTAGCTGGTGGGCATGAATCTCAGACCTTGCAGTTCACACTGCAGACTTTATGGTTAAGTGTTTATCCTACAGCTCCTGCACCAGGACTCCTTGGGTTCTATTAATACCACTATTATACAGAGAAGGTAACAGGCTTTGGGAGGGTGTATAATTTACCTGAGACCACCCAGCCAGTAAGTGGTAGAGCCCAGACTCAGACCCAAGCCACTTCAGCCTGTAACCATCTTTGCTAATAAAGTTAGGCAAAGTTCATAACTTGTTACTTAATGCAGGCAGCTGGGTTGGTTAGCATATTTGAATTCTGCATTAGGGTGGAGTGGAGGAGCTGGATAATGAGAGAAGTCTTTGTGCTGAGCTGCCTGGGAATTGTTACAAGAAAGCCTTCTAGAATTAACTCTTCGTTGACCACTCATAGCTCAAGGAAAAGATCTGTGCCAAGGTGATACTTTTTGCTGGTTACTTTAGGCACAATAGTTTGATTGTCCTGGAAAGTTTAGGGAAAAAAGGCTTCGATTCAGATGTAGACTTGGTGATAATCCCAAGGAGAGAAGGTAGTTGTTGTTGTTATGTGCCGTGGAGTCAGTTCCGACTCATAGTGACCCTGCACAGGGTTTCCGAGGCTGTAAATCTTTACGGGAGCAGAAAGCTTCATCTTTCTCCTGCGGAACAGCTGGTAGTTTAGAACTGCTGACCTTGCGGTTCTTGAGGTTCGTAGCCCGATTTGTAATCACTATGCTACCAGAGCTCCTTAGAGGAGGCAGTAGAGGAAGGAAAAACTCTACATGCACTAGGTACATACTATGGGCCAGGCATTGCTCCCAGAAGACTTCATACCATACTCTTCTTATCTCTGCTTACACAGTGAGAAGTTAAGTGTTACAGCTGCAGGAAATGGTAGATCTGGAGTCTGGACATTGGGCTTTTAGACTCTGTGCTATGCAGCATGTTCCCAGTCTACGTAGGCAGGCAAGTGGCAGGTTTCAGAAGCTTACGTTCTTATCCACTCCTGACTGTTTTGGGTTTTTTTTTTTTTTTGCAGCTGGAAGCCGAGGCTGTGTTCCGTGCCATCACCATTGCCAGCCAAACCAACTGCCCTCTCTACATTGCAAAGGTCATGAGCAAAAGTGCAGCTGATCTCATCTCCCAAGCCAGGAAGAAAGGTGATTTGTGCTCCTTGGGTCTCGGCATGCCAGCCACACCATGTGGCTCCTCATCTCCCCGTCTGTCCTGAGACATAATGCTCGTTTTACTTTTAAAAGAAACCCTAGCAATGCTGTGGGTTAGATTTGGGGTGACAACTCAAAGGTCAGTGATTTGAACCTCCCAGGCCATCCAAGGAAGAAAGATGTGGCTGCCTGCTCTTGGAAAGATTATAACCTTGGAAATCCTGCATATGATCCAGTTCTGTGTCCTAGAGGGTTGCTGCGAATCAGAATCAGCTCGATGGTAGTAGGTTTTTCCCCCTTACTTTGCCCTTTAGGAAGGTCATCATGCATCTGTGTGCATTTGATTCTCTTCACATCCTGTGTGAGTGGTAGGGCCTCAGAATTTCTCCCACTGAGCATATGAGTAAACCGAGGTGCAGCTGGAATCTGCCCTCTTGATTTTCCATTGTTCGGCTACATTATCTGAGCTTTATAAATGGACAGATTGGTCAAGACTATTTTGGGTGCAGAAGTCAAAAATGCAACTCCAATTGGCTTTTAAAAAAAAAAAAAAAAAAAGGTAAATGATTGCATCAGGTATGTTTCAGGTGTTTCTGGCATGGCTACATCAAGGGTTTCAGCAATGTTTTTGAGGTTCTAATCTCTCCCCTTACCTTTCTTGGCTCTGCTTTCTTCTCCTTCGTCAGGGAGAGGCAGACTGAATGGTGACCACAGTAGATGCCAGGAGATACCTGCTGTCCTCACCACTTGGTGGGAATATAATGGGGAAATAGAGTATGTCTTTTCCAGCAGCTGTAACAGAAGTCCCCAGTGGACTGCAATTTTCTTGGCTTCATGTACTCATCCCTGAACCAATAACAGCCCTGGGGTTGGTATATTCTGATTGGTCAGGATTGAGGACTGAGAACAGAAACAGGGTTACTTGTCAACCTGAACCAAGCAGATGAATGCCAATTATTTAAGAAGAAAGAGTTGAATTGTTTTTCAGAACGTGTCTACTGGCATGGTATTATATTCATGAGTAGTTATAGTTGTGGAATCATTTGGGCCTCTTGGTGACCCATGTATGTCAGAATAGAATTGTGCTTCACAGGCTGAAGTTTTGGAAGTTGATTGCCAGGGCTTTCTTCTGTGAAGTACCTCTGGGTGGACTAGAATCTCCAACCTTCAGGTTAGCAGCCGAGTGTGTTAACTGATTGCACCAGCCAGCCACTCTGCCTTCATCCATGTGGGCTTCTTTCTCTACTCTTTTGACTTCAGCTACTTACCTCCTTAGCTGTGACGTTGGGTTTTCATTGGTTGACTTTGTGCTTAGTAAAAATGTACTCCCATTTCAAAGCCTCCTTTTATGCTTTGAAATGGGAATAATGGGGGCAATGAGGAGTGTGATTGCAAAAAGTGGAAAGACAAGGTTGTGTTTGGTTGTGAGAGAGCATTCACTAGGCTTGGTTGTATAATTGCTACTGCTGTTGGCCAGTGGATATTCTGTTGGTGTTGAGATGTACAATGAGGGATTCATCTACCAAACTCAGACCAGTCTGTGAAGCTCCAAGTGTGAATAATGGTGGTGGCTAAAAATAGACCTAGCTGACTCTAATGGCCAAGGTTTAGCTGCCTGGCCTTCTGGCAAAGGCTGGCTCCCTCCTGAGGGACGGGAGTCTTCCCAGTTGTCTAGACAATCTTCTTAGCTGGCAAAATACGGGGAACCTCCTGCATTACACTACCTCCTTGTATTTCCTTAAGCATTTAGATGTCACAACTAGCCAGGTGTGATTGCTCCCCTAGGTGTGCGTCATATGGCCTGAATCAGGAAAGCAGCCCCAAGTTTCTTTCCCATTCCTGAAGAAAAGGAGGAAAAATAAATATATTTAATAAAAGAAAAGAAATATTAATGTATGTAGGGGCCAACCCCACTGTCTCCCCATAACCACGGACCGTACTTGCCCTTCCATGCCTACATCCTGCTGGGACCCATACTCTGGATGGTCTGGGGGCCTCACAGACAGGCTGTCTTAGTTAAATGCTGGGTTTTATTTCATGCTTCAAGGAGAAAAATTCCTCATCCTTAGCCTTTTGGCTCATGCTTTTCTTGCCAGAAGAAATGATGCAGCTGTTGTCTCTGGGGTGAAAGGAAAAGGAGGCATTGTTTCAGTGATGAAAAACTCACTGCTGAGATTGAAGCCAGGAAGTATCTCTCTCGAGTTGTCATTTTTAGGGAATGAGACCAGAGCGTGCAGACCAGGAAAACAGAGAGTAGAGAGTGTAGCAGGGTTGCTCTTCCATCTGACCCAGAGTACACTCTAAGTCCCAGTGTGTTTACTCTCCAAGCACTGATTTGCAACCCTGCATGGTTACTCAGAATTAATGTTAAGGAATCAGCAGTTGAGCAAGCACCAATTATATGCTCAGCACTGAAGTAGACACTTTAAATGCATTATTATATAGAACTCTCAATGAACTCTGGGAAGTAGGCATTGATATCCCCACTTTTCAGATGAGGAAATTGAAGTATAACTTATCTAGATGAACTAATATTCATTCCCAGGTATAATTGCTGTCTTTGCTTATTGTGCTATGCTGTGTTAAAGATGGCCCAAAGGAGAATTCTTCCACTTCTAACATTGTGTTTCTCTTAGTAAGATTTGAATGTTTATGTTGACTTTTGTTACTGCTTTTCTTTTGGGGTCCTGAATGCTTTAGTTTGGTGAATACTTAGGATACTTTGTACTTCCAGCCAGAGAGAAGGGTTGCCATATAGGATTGTTTTCTGCTGCTTCCTTCTTTTGCTTGTGGCTGACATCACTAATAAATCTTAAGTATTTCCCAAAGCAACCAGAGTTTTATTAGGAATCTTCTCTACATAGAATTCCAGTCAAGCATTACCAATGGATTGGAGTTGAAGCAAGGCAAAACCTGTTTGTAATTCTGGCCATAGAGCTTTCCTAGACTTGATGGGAAGTTGGAATGTGGAACTTGAGGAGTGAAGCTAAGTAAGTCCAGGGATATACAACGCATCTTGAGCCCAGGTTTCTGGCACAGCAGACTTGACACCAACCAACTGCAGTGAGAGAGCATTGCCTTTTGTATCAGTATCCCTATTTTAAGAGAGTCAAGAAGAGCTTAGGTCAGGGTATGTCCTCCTCCTTCCTTGAGTTGGGTAGTTAATGGCCTGATCCAGATGCAGGCTCTAAGGAGCTAGCCTCATCCTTGTCCTGTTCGACATCATTGCATGTGCTTGAGCAAATCATCCCTTGCCTTAGGTTATGGAGGAGAAACACCATGATGAGAAAAATACTGGGAGCTTCTCATCCATGGAAATGGATTTTACTTTGTAGACCAACTGCTGGTTCTGGCAGTTCCAGTGACGTGGGCCGATTTGGGTCTTTGGGTCTCTTCCAGAGGAAGGAGTAGGAAAGACTAGAAATTGGTATTAACTGAGTATCTTCTATGTGCCAGATAATCCACACATACCAAATCCTTTCATTTTTACAGTAGACCTGAGAAGTAAATATCATCCTATTTTCTCAATTCAAGGGCATGTGTGTTTTACATTTTTAACATATCTGAAAGGAGTATGAGTCTTGTAATCAAAACACCATTGTTATTGTTTTGGTTTTGGTCTTAATTTCTAATTGTCCTCACAATTTGTGAAAGAATGTTGTATCTTACAATCAGTGGCTTCATCTAACCTAGGAGGTATAAAAGTGTCTCTATCAGATAGAAAAGCAGGGTCTTTAGGAAACGTGAAAGCATAGATGCAAACCCAGACCAGCCTGACTCGAGAGCCACAGTCTTGAAGTAGACTTAGGAGGAATGCCCTGTGCAGAACATTCTTTACGGAAAACTCTTCCTTACCTTTTCCAGGAAATGTGGTTTTCGGTGAGCCCATCACTGCCAGCCTTGGTACAGATGGAACCCATTACTGGAGCAAGAATTGGGCCAAGGCGGCTGCATTTGTAACATCTCCTCCTCTGAGCCCTGACCCAAGCACTCCAGACTACATCAACTCCTTGCTGGCCAGGTGAGTGTAGGCACTGGCTGGAAACATCTTGAGGATCACCTGGATAGAGATTGGGCAGCTATAGCCATCAGCTAGAGGAGAGTCTGGAGTGAGAAAAATACATGAAAATGTCCTCTTCAAATGTGTGGCTAATTGCTTCCGTAAGCAACTGCTTCCTTTGCGTGTGACCAGACTGGATGGTACCTGCTACCATTACTGAACAATTTGACCAAAGCTTCAATACAGGAATCTTGCTCAAAAGGGGAAAAATGTAGACCAGAATTTCAAATTCTCATTGGCTCCAGAGTTTGTGAGCTCTTGAGACTAGATTGGCCCCTGAAACTTTTCCTAAAATAATCTTTAAGCCTCAAACACAAACTATCCCCTCCTGTCTTCATTAAACCATATGAGAGTTTAGTTTAATTAGTAAAGAATATTTGCCTAGAGCAAGCGCGGTGCCCTTTAAAGAACTGTCTACATGGTGTTGCACCAACAACAGTACCTTGAAATAGGGAGTCCTGATGTGGCACTGTGGGTTAATGCACGAGACTGCAAAGTTGTTTGAACTGCAAGGTTGGCAGTTCAAACTCACCAGCCACTCCTCAGAAACCCTATACAGGGTCACTATGGGTTGGAACTGACTCAGTGGCACTTAACAACAACAGAGAGTGGCTATAGAACTTGAACTATGAACTATGTCCATACCACTGAATTGTATAAAGAGGTTCAGAAAGTTTCTGGAAAGATTCATTCTCTTCCTCCCTTCCCCCCCACCCCCTTTTTAAAGTTTTTATTGTGACTTCAGTGATAGTTTACATGGGAGAACATCACTTTTACACTCACTGTTTCATTGCAATGATTACAATCCCCTCCGTACATCATCATTCAACAGTATTTGCTTCTATTGCCTCTGTTTTTTTGTGTGTTTTTTTGGGGGGTGGGAGGGACGTACACCAAAACACTCAGGAAGATTCCATTATCAATTAATTCCATTTATACATAAACTTTTGGAACCCCCTCATACATGTATCATTTGTGAAATGCATCTATGTTTTTGTATATATATTATCAATAGCAACAACAAAAAATAAAATAAGGCTCCCTTTCAGTCTGAATCAGATCCCATTTTTAAAAATAATACAGCAGTAATATTATCGTTGGATATTACTACTGACTCCTGGTGAGGTGCTGTAACCTCAGCACTGGACTTGGAACCACAAGGTTGACAGTTCAGACCCAGCATGCTCCTTGCAAACCCTATACAGGGTTGCTATGAGTCGGAACCGACTGGACACTTAGCAACACCAACAATAATATCCACAGAGGAGACCCAGGGATCAATTCCTAGCTAATAACAACTCTTGTACAGCCATACTTTTCTGTCGGTGGAGGCTCGTGTGTGGCTGTGATGCTGAATACATTTTGGCAAAGCTTCCAGGCTAAGACAGACTAGAAAGAAAAGCCTGGTGATATAATTCCAAAAATCAGCTAATAAAAACCCTGTGGATCACAATGATTCCACCACACTGAGCATGAGGTCTCCATGAGTTGGGGCCAACTTGATGTCAGACTAACAATATAACAACAATATTAACCATGGTTAAAACCAGTTAGCAGTCACTGTGGTAACCAAGCATTATGATTATACATGCTTGATCTTATTTATTGCTCAGAACGACTTTATGAGTGACAGACTGTTAGCACCATTGTACAGATTTAACCACGGAGGGTCAGAAAGACTGTCATTTGCCTAAATTTGCACAGCTAGTCATGATAACCACATAACAGGATTTATAGGGAGACTTGTCTGCAGTTGACCTCTGCTGACCTTGTGGTCAATCATATTTTTATTACAAAAGACATAATTCCACCTCTTTTCAAAGAGGGAAAGAAAGCTGCTTACGCTCACACAGATAGTGAGAAATAGAGGAAGGATTCCAAGCTCAAGCCATCAGACTCCAGACCCTCACATTATAAACCACAGCAGCATCTGGTCCTCTGCGGTACCTCTAACCAGCTTTCTCACTCACATGGAGCTTCTCTTTGCCAGTGGGGACCTGCAACTCTCTGGGAGTGCCCACTGCACCTTCAGCACTGCCCAGAAAGCGATTGGGAAGGACAACTTTACAGCCATTCCTGAGGGCACCAATGGCGTGGAGGAACGGATGTCTGTCATTTGGGACAAGGCTGTGGTAAGGAAATCCATGGTCAAATCGCAGTCTCCTGTGCATAAGAGAGATGAAAGTGTGTATGTGGGGTGGAGATAAAACCTCTTATATCTGCTCAGGTATGTCTGCAACCAGGTAACTCAGGTGCTTTGGGAATTGACCTTCTAGAGTGTTGAATCCGGAGGTATGGGATTTGAAGAGGCCTCCTCATCTATATTGTTAAGGCCTAGGAAAATGTGCGTAAAGCAAAAACATTAAGGTATTTTTGTTTGGAAATTTTATGATTTATTTGAAAAGGACAGGATATCAGTCACTCTTTCATCCAATAAATGCGTTTGTGCCTAGACCGAAGTCATCTTGCTCTTAAGAGCTGGATGCTCTATACAGAAGGCGTGTGGTTATCCAAAACGACGGTCTTTCATTGTCTGGCAATGTGGCTTGATTTTAATTTCCTTGCTTCACAAGGGCTGAAAAGAAAGAGTCATGTAAACAAAGATACTCTCAAGGATGTTAATAAACTTAATACATTTTACCCATTATTAAATTCATCACTTCCTTATGTTTTATTTTAACAACTTTAAAATACTAATTCCTTGTAGAGTTCAAAATGACTTTTAGAGCCAAAAAATGAGCTAATGCCTCATTCATTTCACAGTGTAATCTACTGAGTTTCTAACTTCTTGACCACCAAGAAGCTCAAAGCTAGGTTTTAGACACAATTATTCCCTGCTCTGCCAGGCTTTTTTGTTTTGAGAAAGAGAGGAAAAATAGAAAAATATAAATGTCTCTTCTACTTTGTATTTAATTTTTGTCTGTTATTTATTTTACCCTGTTAAGTATTTATGGCATTTTTTATGTATTTATGTTGACACTAACTATCTGGAATTAGTATATATATTTATATGTATGTGTGTTGTTGTTAAGTGCTGTTGAGTTAGTTCCAACTCATAACAACCCAGTATTGGGTTTCTGAGGAGCAGCTGGTGAGTTTGAATCACTGACCTGCAGTTCAAACTGACCTTGAAGTCCAGTCCAGTGCTTAATCCTACATCACCACACCAGAACTCTGTGTGTGTGTGTGTGTGTGTGTGTGTGTGTGTGTATATACATAACACACACACAACATATTGTTGATGTTGTTAAGTTCTGTCCAGTTCGTTCCAATTCATAGTGATGCTGCATAGGGTTTCCAAGACTGTAAATCTTTGCAGAAGCAGAAAACTTCATCTTTCTCCTGTAGAATGACTGGTGGGCTTGAACTATGGGTCTAATGGGTCACAGTTTCCAGCATGATACATGCTCAAGAAAGAACACTTGGAAATCATAGAAAAACCACACACAGAAAAGCAAAGAAAAAAATCACTCCTAAATCCATAATCCAGGAAAAAACTATTATTATCATTTGGTCAGGTTTTTTCCATACTGATTTTACATATGTGCAATTACAGGTACCTATATGAAGAATGACAGTGTTTCTCTGCTATTCATATAGCATATAGCCTGACCCAAGCCATGGTATTTTCAATAACCTCATATGCAAGCGAAAGCTGGACAGTGAATAAGGAAGACCATAGAAGAATTGATGCTTTTGAGTTATGGTGTTGGAGGAGAATATTGAAAGTGCCATGGGCTGCCAAAAGAACCAACAGATCCGTGTTGAAAGAAGTGCAGCCAGAGTGCTCCTTGGAGGCCAGGATGGCCAAAGTTTCTTTCTCATACTTCAGAAATAGTGTCAGGAGGGACCGGTCACTGGAGAAGGATATCATGTTTGGCAAGTTGGAGGGTCAGAGAAAAAGAGAAAGTTCCCCAACAAGATGGATTGGCTAAGTGGCAGCATTGATGGGCTCAAGTGTGGCAACGATAGTGAGGTTGGCCCAGTATCGGACAGTGTTTCATTCTGGTGTGCATAATGTTGCTATGAGTCGGTACCTACTCGATGGCACCTAACAACAACAACAACATATGAATAATGAAGGAGCTCTTGTAATGTAGTGGATTATGAGTTGGGCTGCTAACCACAAGGTCACAGCACACAACCACAACCATCATCATATGAAGAATGGGCTTATAAACATGTTTGTTTCTACTCTGACTTCTCAGTAATCATTTTTGAATTAGAGGATCAGTAAGTAATAAATGGGAGTGTCATGGTTCTGTAGGATAAGCACTGGACCGTGAACCACACGGTTAGCCATTCAAGCCCACTAGTACTCCATGAGACAAAGATGAGGCTTTCTGCTTCAGCAAAGATTTATAACCTCAGAAATCCTATATAGAGTCTCTGGGAATTGGAACCAATTCAGTGGCACTTAACAACAACAGCAAGTAGTAAATGGAGTCCTAGTGAGGTACTGTGGGATAATGTGTCAGACTGCAAAGTCATTTGAACTGCAAGGTCGGTGGTTTAAGCACACCAGCTTCTCCTTGGAAACCCTATGCAGGATCGCTATGGGTCGGAATCGACTCTATGGCACTTAAGAATAACAACAACAACAACAACACTAAGTAGTAAATGTACACAAATATCCAGAGACGGTTAATGTTTCGGGAGCAGTGACTCCTATCAGAGCCTAGTTGGGATGTTAAGCACTTGACTGCTAATCAGAAGGTTGGCAATTCAAACCCACATGTAGAGAAAAATGTGACAGTCTGCTCTTATAAATGTTACAACCTGTGTGTCAGTTTTTCTCTGCCTTGAAGGGTCACTCTGAGTGGAAATAATTTTGATGGCAATGGTTTTAACACCAATGGTGAATCACGTGTTTAGTCATGTCATGCAGGTAGCTGGCTGTGGATTCCTGTGCCTACCACCTCAGAGGCTCCTCGCTTGTCTGGGCCTTTGTGGTCACCTGCTCTGAGCTCAGGGACCCCCACAGTGGTAAATCTCTATTTTTAATTCATGTCATAGGCCACTGGGAAAATGGATGAAAACCAGTTTGTGGCTGTGACAAGCACAAATGCTGCCAAGATCTTCAACCTGTATCCCCGCAAGGGAAGAATATCTGTGGGCTCTGACAGTGACCTGGTCATCTGGGATCCAGATGCTGTGAAGATCGTCTCTGCCAAGAACCACCAGTCGGTGAGGCTGAGGCTGAGGCTGGTGGGAACGGAAGTAGGGTACAGAAGATATGTGAAGCATTTGGTCAGGAGGAATTTGCTTCTGTGATGTACCAGAGTAGTTAGACCAGATTATGTTGCAGTGTCAAGGAATCCAATAATACCAGTGGTTTCATACCCCAAAGGTTCGTGTATCACTCATGCTTTCCAAAGTGGGTCACCGTAGGATCTTTGCCCATCCTAGCCACTCAGGGTCAGAGGATGATAGAGAACAGCTCCGTTTCTACTCTCTACCCATGTTGCCATGATTGCAGGCAGGAAGAGGCAACTTGGTAGCTGGCACGTTGAGTACACAAACATTCCTACCACTTACTCTTCCTAGCCATTCAAGTGAACTTCAGATATACTGAAATTCAGAAGGGTGGGGATTTCAATGACAGCTTGCTGTTGGAAGGAGAGAGAACTGAAGTAATTGGTGAGCATCACCAACAGTCTCCTCATGAGGAATTTCATGTGTAAGATAGTAACTCCAGCCCAGTGCCTAACGGCAAGAGGCTTAATATTTGTTAGTAAAAGTAGGTAACATTTTTAAAGCACTTATGTTTTTAAGGCATTACACTTTTAGCTTGCTGCCTTTGAATTTACTGAACCTCCATAAGTCTTTTGTAGACAAGTGTTTCTATGATTCCCATTTAACAGATCCAGAAATGGAAGTGCAGAAAAGGTCAATAGCTTATACATGTCACACAGCAAGTAAAGGGTGGAGTGGGAGTTCACACAGACAACTCAACCCTAAACAGATATGTGTGATCATTTTGCAGTACTGCCGCTCACCTATTGAATAATGGAGGGAGGGGAAAACAATCCCATTTTTGGTGATGACAGTCTTTGTTTAAATCTATGCCATATCACATAATTTCACTGAGAGCTGGTAGGGACCTCAGGTTCATGTAACTCGCCTACTGATCTATTTAATAAAGGCTTGCCAAGTCAACTTCCCTGACAGTTCTTGAGCACTGCTGGTGACAAAAATTCAGTCCCACGTGAGGACCTTAATGAAGAGTGGGCACATCTCTGTTAGGAAGTCCAGTCTTTACTAAGCAAGATCTGCCTCCTGGTCTTGATCACCCACTGGAAGGTTGCAGATGCATGTAAGCCTTTTCTGGTATCCCAACTGTCTGGTAGCATAGTAGTTATGAGTCAGGTGGTAATTTCACGGTCAGCCGTTGGAAACTACCAGCTGTTCCACAGGAGAAAGATGAGGTTTTCTGCTTCTGTAAAGATTTACAGCCTCAGAAAGCCTATGCAGGGTCGTTATGACACGGAATCAACTCCATGACACATAACCACCATTGCCACCAGCGTCTTATGGATCTAGTGTTGCTATAGGAGAAATGCCACAAGTGGATGGCCTTAAACAGTAAGCGATTCTCACAGTATAGGAGCCTAGAAGTCCAACTACAGAATGCCAGCTCCCAAGGAAGGCTTTGTCTTTTCTGTCTCTTGGTTCTAGGAGGTCCCTAGAGTTAGGACCCCAGGCCCAAAGGACATGCTCTGCTCCTGGTTCTTCTTTTTGATGCTAGTGGGTCCCTCTGACCTCTGCTTACTTCACTCTGCTTTTCTTTCCTTGTAAGATAAATGGTATTATAGGTCCAGGAAACCCCCTTTATATCAGATGAAAGCTGTAAGGGGATTCAGGTTGCTGCATCCACCCTCAATCCTTTTATTGGTTGATCACAGAATGAGGGAATCAGTATAGAACTTCCACATTGCATTATTACATAACTGCCAAGCCACTGTCAATCATGGCCCAGCCAATTTGACACATAATTTTGGTGAACACAATTCAGTCCATGACATATGGTGACCCACTGCCTCGTGACTGAGAAGGCAGGAACCCAAGAGGTGACCTCATCCCTCTTTTTCTCCTTCCTACACGCTCACCTATGTCTTTGCCTTCACTGCTATCTCTAGGTGGCAGAGTATAACATCTTTGAAGGGATGGAGCTGCGTGGGGCTCCTCTGGTTGTGATCTGCCAGGGCAAGATCATGCTGGAGGATGGCAACCTGCACGTGACCCAGGGAGCTGGCCGTTTCATCCCCTGTAGCCCGTTCTCCGACTATGTCTACAAGCGCATTAAAGCTAGGAGGAAGGTAAGAAGCAGGAAGATCCCTGAGGTGGGCAGAGGGTTTTGTGTGCCATTCAGGCATGGGGATAATCATGGAATTAGCAAGGCAGCTGTAGGATAAGTACTGGATGGCTAATTTCAAAGTCTGCGGTTCAAACTCAGTGGCTGCTCCGCAGGAGAAAGCGGGGGCTTTCTGCTCCTGTAAATATTTATAGCTTCGGAAACACTCTGCAGTGTCTCTGTGAGTCGGAATCCACTTAATGGCAGTGGGTGGATGTTTTCTAGGAGGAGTCCCAGTGGCAATGTGAAATAAGTATTGGGCTTCTAACTATAAGGTTGGCTGTTGAGATCCCATCATTCAATCTGCAGGAGAAAGATGAAGTTGTCTGCTCCCCAAAAGATTTGCAGTCTTGGAATCCCTATGTAGGGTCACTATGAATTGAAATCACCTCGGAGGTTGTGAATGTTTCCAGGGAGTCAGGTGGTGCAACAGTTAACATGTTCAGCTGCTAACCATAAAGTGGAAGATTGGAATCAACCCAGAGGCACTTCAGAAGAAAGGCCTGGAGCCTTTTAAGTGGAAAACCCTGTTAAGTACAAGTCTAAATAATACCATTGAGTACCAGGAGTCAGAGTTAACTCCTCAGCAACTGTTTTTTTTTAATGTGTGTCCTCTAGACCTTCATAAAGAAATTCACAGCAAGAGCACAGACATAATGTACTATAACAATGGGCATCCAGATTTTCAGAAGAAAGCTTTCCCCAAATGATTTTTCTAACCTTATAGTGCTTTTCTTTTTAACAAAATTTAAATTTGATTTTATATATATATATATATATATCATAGTTGTTGTTAGGTGCCATCGAGTCAGTACTGACCCATAGCGACCTTATGCACAGCAGAATGAAACACTGCCCGATCCTGGGCCAACCTCACTACTGTTGCCACGCTTGAGTCCATCGATGGCCAATCCATCTTGCTGGGGTCTTCCTTTTTTTCTCTGGTCCTCCATTATATCTTAGTAGTTATTGTTAAGTGACATCAGTTTTGTTGGGCTCCCAGTACCTGCAGAGAATGAGCTAAACTTCCCTCCTACAACATGTGTCTGTTTCTGGTAGTCTAAACATCCCTGTATCCTTCTATTTCTGCTACCACAAGGGTATACATTTCCTTCACCATTCTTATGCTTCATCAGTAACCAACTTGAATTTACAGAGTATGGGATAAAATTCCACACTCCAGGTTTGACCTAATAGAGAATAAAATGAAACTCAAACTTTTTGGTATTGGCTTTAATAATGTAACTTTGGTTACCCAAAGATAATTTGATGATCTAGAGTTATTGGTCAAGGTATTTGGGAGTACAGGCAGAAGCCTCATCCCTCCAAAATCATGATCCGCAAATGTGTTGAGCTCTTCTTCGTACCAGCATCATCGTCACTCAACAGAAGACAAAGAAAGCTCTGTGGAAGGATCTTCTGGGAGATTTTAGATTGTCCATTCTGTACTGTCAGGCTCCCCTGGCAGTGTGTCTTCATTTCCTTACTTCTGATCAAAGATGAGACATGGGTCAAGGTGGAGTGCTGTACCCCTGCCTTAGGTGGATTGTAGTGTTTCTTTATTGGACTCTAAGCTTCTTTGGAAGAGGCTCCATGTTTCCTGGGGCCGTCAACCCCACCACCACTACCAAGTCCAGCACAGAGTATGCACTTGGTGGATGCTGCTGACTGGCTGCAGCAAGCACAGAGCCTCAGGCAGAAGTCACTGGGACAGACCACATAAGCTGTGCATTTCTAGGCTTGTAACCCTGCTCTGTGCTGAAGACTTGTAAGGTGAAAAGCCCACATGACCTCTCCTACCAACACTATGATCTCATCTGTAACTGCTTACTGCCCTCCCATTCACTCCTGTCCAGTACTGGTCATCCAACGATACCGTAGTACTTTCACCTTCGTTTCTATGCATTTTCTTTTTTCTCTATGCGGAATACTGCCCTCCTCATCACTCCTGGCATCTCCCACACTTTTCCTTCCTTGCATCCTAGCCCCAAAACCAGCTCATTTGATCTTTCAGATCACAGATCATCTCTTTAAAGAGGCCAGGACTCACCATCTCATTGGTCAAGCTACTGTGATACTCACTTCTCCCTTCTTTAAATTGTATATATTTTTAAAGAAATTACCATCTGGATCCCACTACATACACATGTTATTCCCTGATATATTTATGTTCCTTAGAACTGACGCTTAGTAACTGTTTGTTGAATGAATAAATGGTGATACTCTTTCTCTGGTGGCAGATGGCTGACCTACATGCGGTCCCGAGGGGCATGTATGATGGACCAGTGTTTGACCTGACTACCACCCCCAAAGGGGGCACTCCTGCGGGCTCCACACGGGGCTCTCCCACTCGACCCAACCCACCCGTGAGGAATCTCCATCAGTCGGGATTTAGCCTGTCCGGTGAGTCAGACAAGTTGATCCTGACCTTTAATGAGAAAGAGAGGAATGTGAGGGGGAAGGTCAGTGCTATATGGTAGGGTGACCCTATGTGCTAAACCTGAACCTCTTTCCCACCCCAGTGCTGACATTGCCCTCTAATGAGAAGCTTTTAGGGATAAGCAAGGAAGTTTGCCTGAATCAAGAAGGAAGTCTGTTGATAAAGCAAAAAAAATGGTAGTTAAGTTAAAGAGTGAGGTTTCAATGATAACAAATTTTACTTACCACCAGTTAGACCTAAGGGGTGGTAGTACTTTTGATTGTGAATTAATAGGAGCTCTGGTAGCATAGTGGTTACGAATCGGGCTGCTAATTTCAAGGTCGGCAGTTCAAAACTACCAGTGGTTCTGCGGGAGAAAGATGAGGCTTTCTGCTCCCGTAAAGATTTGCAGCCTCAGAAACCCTGTGCAGGGTCATTATGAGTCAGAACCGACTCCAAGGTGCTTAACAACAACAACAACAACTATGTAAAATACTGTGTTTTCTGTGTTTGTCCAGGCTAACAGAAAACTCATGTTGTTTCTATGCTCAAATTGTAGTAGTAGTTTATCCTAAACTAGGATTTCTATTGAAGTTATTTTCTCCTCTCATAATAATAATAACTCTAACAATAGCTACCAGTGCTTGGACATTTGCCATGTGTTAAGTGTATCCTTAAGCTTATCTACTCTTTAACAACTCTGAAATACAATATTGTCCCCATTTAACAGATGTGAAAACTGAGGCTAAGACAGAGTAACTTTGTTGTTGTGTGCGTGGAGTTGTTTCCGACTCATAGCGACCCTGTACAGGGTTTCCAAGGGTGGAACAACTGGTAGTTTCAAACTGCTGACCCTGAGGTTTGCAGCCCGATTCGTAACCACTATGCTACCAGAGCTCCTTAAGACAGAGTAACTAACTTGCCTAAATTCAAACAGCTTGTAAATTGGGGGAGAGCAAATCTTCAGACCAGTTCTGCTTGACTCCTGCAACCTAAACGTGTAGCTTTTCTGCAGTTCTCTGGTAGAATTTTCATTTTTATGAGCACATTTTCCACCTAGAAGATTAAACCATTTTCTTCATTTTTTCTCCTCAATAATTGGAAGGCCAGTCAATTAAGAAGTATCTATTGTATCTCTGTAAAATGTCTGGCTTTCTGTACTTATGGGCAACAAAGAGAGAACAGAGTAACAAAAACAGAAGAGAATAGGACTCAAGAGAGAAAACATGAAACCAACAAGCACATAGGTCTTAGCACTGTAATGAAAAAACCCTGCAGTCAAGTGCTCTTGGTGGTACGTACTACAAGTCAAGGGCTAGATGCTTTTTGTTTTGTTTTTCCCCTCTTAAGTCTTACTCACCACCAGTGGGGAAGGAATCTGTTGAGAGCCATAATGAAGTCGCTCCTTGGAAATCCAGTTCAGGGTCACTATGAATTGTAACTGATACGACGGACCTTAACAACAACAACGTATATTGAAAAATCGATTTAACTAGCAAAATAGAGTTGCTCTGTCCAAATCTAGACTCTGAACACTCAAAAACCGGCTGCTCCAGATAGATGTTCTATAAAATAGATGTGTCGGCATAAAATAAGGCACACTGGATTTCAAAAGTTTAGTCCAAAAAGAGAAAAAAAGTCAAATACCTCATTAGTCATGTTTCTACTGGTGTTGATATTATATTTTAGATACACTGATTCTGTATACTTGATTATTAAAACCATCTCCTCTTGTTTCTTTTATTTTAGCATGTTTTACATAAGTGGTTCACACTCTATCTCTGGTGACCAAACTGGTCTAGACATAGCATTTGAAGCTGGGAAAGTAGTTAGAGATGCTTGGTTTCACTTTGTGCTATGACAGATCAAAGGGAGGCCACACAGACAGAGCACTGGTCTTCTACCAGGGGTGATTTTGCTCACAAAGGGACATTTGGCAATTTTTTGAGACATTTGTTGTGGACTCCTGGTGTGGTGCTGTAGGATCAGCACTGGGCTGCAAACCACATGGTCAGCAGATCAAACCCACCAGCTGCTCCTCAGAAACCCTATACAGGGTCGTTATGAGTTCACAACCAACTCAGCGATACCTAACAATAACAAGAAGAGACCTCTGCATTTGGCACACATGGGATTAGGGTACTACCAGCATCAAGGTGCTGCTAAACATCCTATAATGCATAGGACAGCCTATCACAGCAAGGCATTATCCAGCCCAATATGTTGCTGATGTTGAGGCTGGAGAACCATAAGAGGAATCGAGCTGGTGAACTCTCAGCCCAATACTTTTTCCATTTTGCATGATGTCTCTTTATAGAAAGTATAGATAGGAAATGGTGAAACAGAATGACACGGTAGTGTGCCAATAACTTTGGAATCTGTATACATACCAAAGATGTAGATTCAATTCCTAGCTCTGGTCCTTAAGCGGGCCTCTGTTTCTGAATCCAGATTTCTTCATCTGTGAAATGCAGACAGTGATACCTACTTAATAGTGTTCTTTGGAAATTTAAATGGCCTATGCATTGAGAACAAACATATATTTATAGCCCAGTGCTTGGCACTTGGGAATTTTTCAGTGTACTTAGTGGCCAATTATTATGTAACTGTATTGTTATTATTGTTAAGTACTGTCGAGTCGGTTCCGACCCATAGCGAACCCTGAACAGGGTTTCCGAGGCTATAAATCTTTACAGGATCAGAGAGCCTCATCTTTCTCCCATGGAGCAGCTGGTAGTTTCGAACTGCTGACCTTGCGGTACTCAACCCGATTTGTAACCACTACACTATTAGCTAGCAAGAAATAGAACAGTAAAAAATAAGTAAATAATTATTCAACATTTTCATAGCCAGTAATCTTATGCTAGAGACAAATAAATGTAGATGTATGTCTCTGTTATGTAATGGGACCAGAATGGAAAGAGATCTTTAAAGAGACAGTCACAGCAGAATGGGACAGGACGAGGGTAACGATTAGGAGAAACGGTAGAAAAGGGAGAAAGAGAGATGAAGGAGACCTGTCACAGGAGAAAGGCCAAGGAAAAGGGCTGAAAGTTTTGACACAACTTTGCCAGAGTTCACATTCTGATAGTCACAAGAAAGCTTGTGGTGTTTTTGTCATTTTTCATTGCTCTGTGACTACCTTAGTCCTTAAACTTTGGAAGACTTCCTTCGGAATGGGTACAAGGACACATTGGTGTTTTCTTTTATGGCCTTTTCCCCATCAAATTGTGAGACCTTGGGCAAATCACCTAACCTCTTGGAGCCTCAGTTATCGCCTCTGAAAAATGGGGAGAATAAGATTATTTTTGTCAAAGAATAGTTGTGAGGATTAAATGAGAGGATTGAATCAGTACCTTAAAACATTGCTTGGCACAATGGATGTAAGCTGCTATTTTTCATAGAATGTATCATTCTTTTCATCTTACCATATTACCATGCTATGGGTCAGATGGAATCTAGATAATAATTCAACTTTGCCCCCAGAATTTGACTCCCCTAGTCCCCACAGAGGGTGTTTTTTGAGAGGGTGTGGTATGAAAACTCTAGAGGACCTGCTAGACTGGAATGGAAGTTTCTTGGGAGATGAGACCAGACACTTAAAATTAATCCACTTTCTCTCTCATGCACCCTTCCCCCTCTTCTTTTCTTCCTCCATGGCAATTTATTTCCAATGACAGGCACCCAAGTGGATGAGGGGGTCCGCTCAGCCAGCAAGCGCATCGTGGCGCCCCCTGGAGGCCGTTCTAACATCACATCCCTGAGTTAAGCAACTCCTCCCATAAGAGAAGGGGCCGAAGCAAGAAGAGATTTTCTTGAAGCCAAAATGGTACATCAACATTTAAGAAGGAAAGCGAATCCAAACGGTTGCGATCTAAAGAATCAATAAGCCTCAAGCCTTATGTTTCTCCAATGTTACGCTCGCTTGCCTAGCTTTACAAATATTGCTTTGTTTTCTGTTGAAGCATAGCCTTGATTTCTTTGACGCCCTGCCCCCATTTACATGCATGCTATCAGACAGGCCACTAAAGTACAAGAGTCTGCTATATAGTGTTGAGAGCGTGTGTAGTGCTGCATCTTAAGACAAGGGGACAGACAAGCTGGGAGGTCAGGAACACAAACAAAAGGGATACAAGATATTTGGGGTGTGTGGGTGGTGGGGGCCCAAAGCAAAGTGGAGAGCACAGAGGGGCTGGGCTAGGGCATGGATGAGGGAGGCGGGTGGGCTGGGTGAGCAGACGGGGATATTGTGTGTTGTGTTGATGATATGCTTTGATTTCCATGAAGATGGTCACTTGTGGCAGCTGTCACTTCTTCAGGGTCTCCACAGCCTTCTGGAGAAAGCAGACGGTCTTTGGGTTCAGCGTTTGTCATGTCACCTCCTAGTAGACTTATTTGTTTGAACATTTCATTAAAATGCCAAAACCCAACCCTTTCCTCTACCGCTTGATGGTGCCAGTGTTTGCTCAGGCCTCTTTTGTCAATGCTGCTTTCCAGGTCTCCTCTTTCCTGGGTTGGAAGGGAACAGCAAGGGGAGAGACAGTGACACTCTCTTCCTTTTGCCCTGCCTGCCTCTTTGGTGCTCTTAAAATGAAACAACTGGGAGAGAGACAGCACAGGCCACAGCTTAAATAAGGTTTCCATCTAATCAACAGGAAGGAGCTCTGGGGTATGGTGGGTTACGCAGATTGGGCTGCTAACCAAAAGGTCAGCAGTTCAAACCCACCAGCCACTCCACTGGGAGAAAGGTAAGGCTGTCTTCTCCTGTAAAGATTTCCAGTCTCAGAAACCCTAAGGAGTTCTACTCTATCGTATAGAGTCGCCATGAGTCAAAATTGACTCGATGGCCGTGAGTTCTCATAAGAGGGAGCTGACCTTCCACTCTTTGCAAACAGAGGTGAGTAGCACACCTCAGCCATCAACCCATTAAGTAAAATCCTTAGTTCAGATGAGGCTGAATGAAGGCTCACTATTGCCCGTGGTGAGTGTTGGGTTTTTCTGATCCCATGAGACGCAGGCACATTCTCACATTCCCTACTGAATAGGATCTTTTTTTTTTTTTTTTTAATGGAAAGTTGCTTATATTAGGGGTTCCTTACATTTTACTGCCAGGTGTAATCTCAGTTTATACAGAAGCCAAGCTGGGATTAGGGAACGGTGATCTTGAGCAGAGGGAGCACATTTGTGACTGAGGTGCTATTTTTTTATTTCACCCACTGTTAATGGATCCTTTTCTTTCTTTTTTTTTTTTTTCAGTCGGGGGGCACTTTTTGTATCAGTACTAAAATCTTCCCCAGTGCATTTCAGTGTCTCACAACCCTCCTGGTGCGGCACACAGAGGACTCAGCACGGAGTGGTCACGCTGGCCTTGTCTGACAGTTGAACATCCACTTCTCCATCATGCCACTTCTGAAAGTTCAATTGGAGAGGCAGTACTGTGAGCAAAATGAGGATCTGTAGAACCAAGAGGCTCATACGCAAAAAAAATAAACCAAACCACAACCTGGGGTCATACTTCCCGTTCCCTTAGGGGGAGCCAGTTGGTAGACCCATCACCCTGTGTACTAAGTACTTTGAAGAGAAGAGCAGGCCTCAAACACCTTTTAAGTGCTTAGGAAAAACCTAAAGTTTTAATAAGTTGAAGACTAGAAAAAAGGAATGAAATGGCTCCAGAGGAATTTGATAATAATCAAGGAAGCACATTTTCCCTAGCAAGCTATAATTTCTGTTCTAATCATGAATAGGATGGTTCATCCTCATAATGGGGAATATTGGCATTGTTGAGCTCTCGTGATATCTTTCTTTTAAGAGAAACTAAATGGAAGGAAAGGATGTGGTTCACAATTTATAATGCAAAGAGTCGGGGGCCTGCCATAGAACTCAGCAGACAGTGTTGCATTCAGAGGGTCAGTTCTGAGGCGTCATATACCTCACTGGCTGCATTGTGCTTTAAGAAAAATAGCAGTACCAGCCACAACCACCAGAGGGAGGGAAGCGCACATAAATAAATACTTCACCCTTTGCTAGTGTTACTCAGAGCTTGGGTCCAGCTCATCCCTCTATTACCTCTCTCTGACATGAAAATGCATCTTCCCTGACCAAACAGGCATCTTCATTACACGCGGGACTTTTGAAATGGATTGAACCAGAACGTTTTCTTTTGCACAGCCTCCCATGCTGTAGGAATAACTCCATATCTTCAAGACAGGCAGCAGTATCTAAAGAAACCTGCCTTTCTTCACGTACCATTAGTCATTTTCCACACATGGAATTTCCTGAAAATTGCAAGAAACAAACCAACAAAAAATCCTTCCAGTGTTTTCTAGGCTTGGATTTCTGGCTAATGTGTTATTTAGATTTAAATGTGTTTTATTACAGAAAGTACATGTAACAGCTTTATACAGAAGGTTTAGATGGAAAATGACAGTGAGTACCGGCCCTCCTGGAATTCACTGAAATCTCACCCAAGTGTGATGGACACGGGGAAATTTGCATCTCCTTCCCAAGTTGTGTTTTCCCAGCTCATCCCTTTCTAAGGATCCCCTCGCCCGCCCCTTCCTCCCCCTCAACACCACCACTATCTTTCCAGCCTTCCCACATGATTTCTAAACCCTTATGGACTGAAAGGACGACAGATTAAGGTGACTGAGAAGGTTTTATTGAATTCTGAATTCAGCCATACTCATGGAAGAGTTTCTTTTACTATGAAGTTCCCTAAAATATGGTAGGATTGTAGTCATCCCCAAAATGGCTTTTCTTCAAAGTCTAATCATTCTTAAGCCTTCTGCTTCATAACTACACCCGGATCCCCATGTTCCACTCCCAACAGCCTGAATCCTAAGTCAAGACTTTTGCTCACCCAGAGAAGCTCTTCCCAATAGGGTGGGCATTACCCAACTTTGGTACTAGCCGCAAGATTCCCAGGCATTCTCCCCTAGAAAACTCCAGCTTGAGTCCCAGATATACCCATGAGCTGTCCTGGGCAGCTGGTTTTCATTGTAATTTCCTTCTTTGGAAAATGGTGTGTGGGTTTTCAGTTTTATGTCTGGTGCATATGGACAGACAGTGAATCTCCTGTGATCTGTGGTAGCTGTGAGGCAGCTCTGGAATCTCACGAGCTGTTTGGTTTGAACCGTGAAGAAAACTGTGTTTTGAGTTTAGCTGAGATTAAAAAAAAAAAAAAAGTTCATCAAGTGACTGTTAATGTAAACCTGGTTATTAAAACAACTAAAACTTCAGCGGTCATTGTCCAGACGTTTTCTGTGTGTGGTGTGCTGTTTCACTTAAAATATTACAGTATAAAATCGAGATGGTCAGTAAGAGGGTCAGATCTGATGATGGCAGAAACATCCTGAGGTTTTTTTTGTTTGTATCTTCTCAGTTGAGGTTGAGTTTTGTTTGAACTATAAAAATTGATGACTACTAGTGTGGCGCTGTGGGTTAATGTACCGGACTGCAAAGCCATATGAACTGCAAGGTTGGCGGTTCAAGCTCACCAGCTGCTCCTTGGAAACCCTATACAGGGTTGCTATGGGTCAGAATCAACTCGATGGCACTTGACAAC